CTACAGTGTAAGGAGGGCACCATATCCAAACCTCATCCTTAATTTTAATTAGTGGGACTACATACAATGTATGTAGAAATGAAATAAGTGGTCATATAAATAATCACATAAATATGTAATGGAGAGTATCTTTTTATATTGCTCTCCAAACCAATTTTAGAAAGGTAGGTGCTAGAAAAGCCAACCGAAAAAAAGAGATCTCATGTGGAGATCTTAAGAGTTATGATAAAAATTTAACAAACATATAAGTATATATTAGCATCCATATTTATTCCTAGATTTTGTCCAAATATACCTATTAAGAATCTCTCTCCTTCCTAAAAATATATCACCTCCAAATATACCTATTAAAAAACTCTATTCCTCTCATATTAATAAAGGGCCCATATAATGTCTGGCCAAAGGACCTAATACAGGCCCTCCCCTTCTCCATAATTTATAGTGCCTCTCTGTAAAGATTTGACACGGATGCATCCGTAGGTCAAAATTTATCTAAGTATATAATTTTGATGTAAAATGTTTATAGGATTATTCAAAATCTATTTTTATATCTAATTATAAAATTTTAAATTTTAAAAATGATTAAAATCAAGTAAATCTATAAACATATGAAAATATTAAAAATGGACAGTGTAGATAATATGTTGTAAAATGCACTATTTCTGAGACTTAAAATCTTTTTATTTTTCATGGTCATACGTCTCGATGTTGAGATGATCAGTCAAAGGGTTTTTCAACATTAAAACTACTTTTTCCAATGGATTTTTGAGGGACATCCGTAGTTCTACATTATAAAAGTAGCATCCTTATATAAAAATTTTTCCTTTATAAATATACATTGAGTTGTTTACATCTTGTAACGGAAACAAAAAAGTCACTCCTTCAAATGGAAAACACATAAAGTATAGTTTATTTTTTAGAAGTCCTCAAGAACATGTTGGTTAAGTAAAAATAAAGAAGGAAAATGCAGAGTTTTCAAGGAACCATAGCTTAATAAAGAGACTTTTATCATATCCACATGAAGAGATCTCTCTCCCTCTCTCCCTCACAATTTATGACCAACCATGCATGGAAAGGCATAATAAAGTATCACAATTAAGTTAGACAAAGTTTTAAAATAAGGAAATTTTTATTAAGTTAGATGTAAACTTGTAAAATAAGGAAAATTTATATTTAAAAAATAAAATTAGCCATTAACTACTTAACAAAACATTTCACTGTATTATTTGCACTACATATTTTTCTAAAAAGTAAGCATAATATTTTAGGAACTCGATGATCTATATACGTCCAAAAATTTCTCACAAACCAAAATTGAATGATGAAATTTGAATGAAATGATAACAATAATTTTTTTCAACACTATATAACTTTTTAAAAATAGAGAAGTTAGTCGTGATGTAATTATAGACCTTGAAAGTTTAAAATTTTAAGTATATAAAACATTTGAAAATTGGGAGAAGTTAATCATGATGTAATTATAGACCTTGAAAGTTTCAAAATTTAAGAACATAAAACATTTGAAAATTGGCTCCTACTTGGTAGAAATAAACAATATTTTATCTTAAATATTAAGAAATACAAATTCGTGCCTTTAAAATTCATGGCCAATAATTTTCAAAAAGTAAAAAATTTATATCACAATACAAAGTTATTTAAGTAATAAATAAAGAAGAAATTGTTCTTTCATATTACTTATTTTTTTATTAAAAAATAAAATAAGCATGATTTCTATTGAGCATTTTAATTTTTATTTTGTAAAATTTGAGATTTTGTTCTAAAAATAAAAAAATTGTTATTCTCATCAACGCCAAAGTATCCCACAAAATATATGAACAACCCATAGAGTAAAAATTAAATAATGTAAAAATAAAAAATCATTAGTAATTTGGAATATACAAAAGGCATTTCTACTTCTCCTCTTGTTCATTCAATAGCTCAACTTTCTTCATGGATATTTGGCTATTTGATAAAACATATGAACTTCACTCCTATCGAAAAACAAAATAAAATTAAAAACACAAACTTCACATGTATTGTACGTAATTACTTAACGTATTAAGTCAAAAGGCTTCAATCTACACAATTAAATCAAAGAGGGGATAACTACACATACTATCGACATTAATAATTGAAAAAAAAAACTACACTTATTTTTGGACAAATATCTTGATCAGTCAATTTAATAACATATATTGCCAATGCATATTGCAACATGCAAGATAAAAAATAAAAATAAATAGATCCAAAAATCAACATCTTATATTATTTGTTAAATATTAGGGAAATTTACATCCCATAAGGGCATAAAAATAAAAAATTATCAAATTACTTCTTAAGCGAGCTAAGCGATAATCGAAGTTAGTGGCATGTGACAACACTAGAAATAATATAATATATACTTTTCTTCTAAAAAGTAAGCATAATATTTTAGGAACTCGATGATCTATAGAAGTCCAAAAATTTCTCACAAACGAAAATTGATGGATGAAATTTGAATGGAATAATAAGAATAATTTTTTGCAATACTGTATAACTTTTGTTAGATAGAGAAGTTAGTCATGATGTAATTAAAGACGTTGAAAGTTTCAAAATTTAAGAACATAAAACATTTGAAAATTGGCTCCTTCTTGGTAGAATTATACAATATTTTATTTTAAATATTAAGAAATAAAAATTTGTGCCTTTAAAATTCATGGCCAATAATTTTTAAAAAGTAAAAAATTTATATCACAATACAAAGTTATTTAAGTAATAAATAAAGAATAAATTGTTCTTTCCTATTACTTATTTTTTATTAAAAAAAAAAAGAAGCATGATTTCTATTGAGCATTTTAATTTTTATTATGTAAAATTTGAGAATTTGTTATAAAAATAAAAAAAATTGCATTTTCATCAACACCCAAGTATCCTACAAAATATATG